TTCTGAGTTCTCCACTTAGTGGAGGTTTACATGTTAGTCTGCCTTTCTGCCCCTGCCCAGCGCGATCAGAGTTGAGCCTTGGTGGCACGGTGGTTAAGCACTTAACTCGGTGGTGTGCTCCAGTAGAGATGACTACTTAGAAAACCCTCCTTTGAAGTTCTGCCTTGTCATTGGGGGTGGGGAATCTGTGAGTTGAAATCAACTGTGTAGCACCTCTCAGCCGGATCAGAGGGACCAGTGTTTGATGGAGGCCACATTCTGAAAGTTCTTTCACACTTGAACTTGATTCCTTAAAATGCCTTTGATTCTAAACAGACCTTTAATAGACTCGCACCACATTTAAAAGAAATCTCCAGGTTAGCTTCTTTCTGGACACCAGCAGTTTGCATCGACTTGGTCCTGCTGGTGGGGTGGGCCTCAGACCAAGGCGGCTCTTTGATAGCGGTGCATTCCTGGCTGCTAGCCTTCCTGAGGGCTTTTCTACAAGTACTGGGTGTTCATTGGAAAGTAAGTAGTTTACACAATTTTAGAGTTCAGGAAGATTGGTTTTGGTATTAAACATGGTAAAATGTTTTCAGACATAGTTTTTTAAAGAGACGATTAGTATATTTTTCTGGTGTTTTAGTTATTTTCATTTTTTATTGTAAATTAGGTGGGGGGGGGTTACATTTCAGATCGACTTCTTTGTGTTCTAAAAACGTCTTTGATTTTGCCCAGCTTACTCGCTTCTCTGTAAGTTGTTCCTTTTAAAATCATTGTATACCTTCAGATACCTGCCCCTTTCCAGCTCTTCTGTTTTGAACACACGCAGCCTTTCACTCCTTAGGGGAGACAATGGCTGAAGCCCGAAACTAGTTTTACAAATAGTTTTCAAACATTCTCACTCAGGCCACCCTCCTGAATGAGTGCCAGCAGATTCTTCGTATCATGTTCATCTGAATGCCTTTCCTTCCTGGTCAAATATGACCATTCATTTTGAAGCTGGTCTCATTTGAAGCACTCGGGTAGCTTTCCCAAACTTATATTACCAGGATGCATTATTCCAAACTGTATTCAGCTCTTGCATATGTGTATCAATGAATTTGGCTCTGGCTACAGAAAATTCTAAAAATTAACTTGTTGATATCATGTCTCTTACCAGGTTGCATGAGAGGGCCGAAAATAATCTTTCATTTAAGACTTTTTTTTTTTTTTTTGGTTTTGTCCATGCCAGAAATGTCTTCTCTGGCTTTTTAAT